CTAAGTCGGAAGTGATAACGCAGTTCGGGAAAAAATTGATCGGCCTTGAGATGCGGTATATTTTCCGGTGCTTTTTGGTGTTCTGTACTGTTGTAGCTATCTAAAATATCTCAAAATGAGAAACCGTTTGTGAACTCGGCTTACGTCATTTAGCGCATTTCATCGCGCCCAAAATTTCCCTTCCTCCAGTGCTAAACCACATCCATGTTTTCACACTGTACAACTTCACACCAGTGATGCACAGTGTTTTAGGGCAGTCAGACCCGGACGGAATCTCCTGTTTCTCCAGCCTCGCGAGTCACTCTGGACCATGGGTTGCAGGAGGGCAATAGGTGAGTTCTAAGATGACATTTAGTCGGCGAGCTGAACCACCTCCTCTGCAGGAGGGCAGTGAGTTCTAAGATGACATTTAGTCGGCGAGCTGAACCACCTCCTCGTGGTGCCGACCGGGTAGCCTGGACGTCTGTCTGTCTGAGCTAAGAGTTCAGCAACTCCAGACAGGGCCAACCACCCCGTTTGGTTTCAATGTGCTGGTTACTTTCGACAATGTATACTACGAATCATCTGGCGCCTCCGCACCAGTTCCAACCAGTACACAGGAGAGACTCGTTGGGTTCACGTGTGAGGAATGTGGCAAGTGCTGCAAATCGAAAGCTGGCTTTGTAGCCCATCATCGAGTTCACGACAATGAAAGTGTTGGTACGAACACAGTCGCCCAATTGGCCTGCGCTGATTGTTCCCGCCTTTTTCCGACGAAGATTGGCCTGAGTCAACACCGCCGGCACGCACACCCCACCCAGCATAATGCAGATAAGCTTGGCCGAGTGAAGTATTCCGGTACCCGCTGGTCCCAGCAAGAGTCACAATCGCTCTTACGCCTGGCTAACAATTTATATCCATCTTGTGGCACGCAAACCGAGCTGTTCACGAGATTGGAGCAGTATTTTCCTGGTCGATCGGCTATCAGCATCAAAAACCAGGTTAGGGTGCTTAACTGGCAAGCACAACAGGACGAATCATCATCTGGTGAACCTGAGCAAACTATCGGTCAGACGACGGCTTAATCCTCACAAGCCGGCGACTACAGCGTCTGGTTTAAACAAACCGTGGATTACACCGTGTCACTCTTGGAATCCCATGCTGACCGTTCGCTCGCT